CCCATCGAGGGTAAATAGAGTAAAAGGGAGGACAAGCACAAGTACGACAGCAATTAAGCTAGGAACAACAGGCAAAAATTCATTGAAAAATGCGAAATACGAGAATGTTAACAAAATTACATTACTTTTATTTTATATGATGTAAAACGAGCAATGCTAATGGTGCAAAATCACATAATTGAATGATTTCCTTATTATTTTCAGAAAACTTTTATATACATGATCGTTAATGTAATAAGCATCCATGACCACTTCATCTCTTATACTAAACTCCGTCGATCATCCCATTTCATGCCTTAAGTCCTTGCTAACCCATTACTATATTCTATACGTCCGCAACATTTTCATAAGGATTTCAACTGAATTTCATTCTACGCCTTTCACATTTCTTGTTTCCACTCAATTCCTTGATATCTCACGTTCACATAATTCCTTGATATCTTCCTTGTGCCTTCACTTCTCACACTCTTCGTCACGCAGCCTTCACTAGTCCAGTGCAGTGAAGGCGTTATTACACGCAGCCTTCACTAGTCCAGTGCAGTGAAGGCGTTATTACACGCAACCTTCACTAGTCCAGTGCAGTGAAGGCGTTATTACACGCAACCTTCACTAGTCCCGTGCAGTGAAGGCGTTATTAAAAGCTTTGTTTTAATTCGTGGCCGGAGAGAGCAAAAGTGCAAAGCACACACGCTTCGAGCCTCCGAGCAGTGCATTAAGAAGCGAATAAGAAATAACGCTTAGAATTATACTAGACAAGAAGAAAATAACACGTAATATCATGATTACAACCATGATCGCATTTATTATTGTTCACATTTTGATAAAGCAAAATAGATACAGCCGCATGCAGAATATCGCTTGCAATGTCCACAGTTTTTAAAGACAATTTCCAGAGACGAAGCAATAGCAACTGTACTGATGATTGTTCATCTCAGTGTTGTTTTTTTTCGAGAGGTTAATATCAGACAAAATATGTATATGATCACAATGCTTGAAAATTTCTCTCATGAATACTAAAAATATTTACAAAAAAAAAAATCAGCCAGAAATACAAGCCGGCGTTTGAACGTCAGTATGTTTAAAATTTATGAACAATTTGTTACCGATCAGAGATTGCTTGCGACAATCTTTTTCTCGGACAAGAAGAAAGCGATGTTTTCTGCTATATTTTTTACACAACAGCAATATTTTCTGGTATATTCCAACACAACATTTTATACATTCTAACATTTTACTTGAGAAGCTTTGGTGAAAAGACAACTAGAAATTATTATTTCAATCTGGAATCCTGTTCATATTTCGTAAATTTATCTCAGACATTGCAACATATGATCGATAACTCAGATTTCAATGCGTTGGCGGAGACATTGTTGAAGCTGTGTCAGTAATAACAGCAAGATTCAGATCTCCGTGTTACAGTTATAAGTCCTTACAAAGGACGGAGCTACAATGTGGAGACTGAGTAAGTCTGTCCGCCGGGATCAGGCCGTCTTAGGTCCGAGAGTCAAGACAAGACGGAATAGCTTCCTTGACCTCACGGGAATCAAAGGACTTGGAACGGGAATTAGAACGAGCGTTATGGGAACGTGGAAATATATTGGTACGATACCCAGATGTGAGAGATATAGATATTCCAATAATAATTTGTAATTAATCAAGTGTAATACCCTCAAATCCTGTTACCTTCTCGAATGAGAAACATTAAAAACTGAACACAATTTTCGATGAAAGCCTGTTCTAGCCTTTTAATCCATTTGACACAAAAAAGGTAAAAAAGAGTTAGGGGTTCTTCCAAATGTAAGAACCCCTAAAAAATCTCCATCTAAGCAACGAAGGTGAAATTCATGACGTTCATTTACATAATTTCCTTGTGCTATGAAAACAAATCTTTCAATGATGACTAAAGCATATCTTTCTTTATCACACGCGAAACGTCAAAAATTGAAAACAAAGGTTAGGAACTCCCACAAAGCCTTTGTTCGGAGACTTGAATGGTAGGCAAGATTGGGACACTGACGCGATACTGCAGGACAAGGAAAAGATAAGGCGACGATAAGGCGATGATGAGGCTACGATAACGTGAGATAAAGGCAAGTTTGCTACACTTGATTGTTTGCTGTGGATAAATCTTGCAGACGGTATCGATATTGCCTCGTATCGAAGAGGCGGATATATCCTGTAGGAAATTACCATCGCGTCAACGAATGTCAGTAAGCGAAAAAAGTACAAGCTTCAATTAGGAAGATAATGAGTCAAATGTTATTATTCAAAGGTGAATGTAATTTTTTTGCAACCTATTAGTTGACATGAATGGAACTTATTATTTTTATTACCAACGAAGGTATTATTTCATGCGATCATTATGACACGTACCGTATCAATAATTGTATTTATTGATACTCAATGTCAGTACATCCGAGCAAAAGTTGTCTTGTACAAAACCAGCAAAACACATCTGAAGAAAAACGTTGTTATGAGGTAGAAACTAATAAAGTAGTAACAAACTAATTAAGTAGTAGTTCGTTATTTAATAATAATTATCAATAATAATTGATAGAAGCCCGTCGCAACCACAATAAAAAGTAGCAATAATAGAAACTGAATATTCAAAGCCTCGTTACGCAAGAATTTCACCAACAAAGACCTACAAATAGATGGATATTAAGACATTCGCGTACATAATTAGATGCGTGGTCAACAAACCAAGGAAGCGCGAGGTAATTAAGAAAATGGCAGGTAATAGAGAACAAAGAAAGAGTCGACGCAAGGATGGAGTGTAAGGGCGGGTACAACCCCTCAGTAATTAGAGCCTGGGTAAACAAAGGGGGAGTATCGAGAGACCAGGCTGTCGGCAAGCCAAGGAGGCCGCAACGCACGCATAAAAACCAACCAAGGAATTGACGCTCGGCCATTACGTCGCTAAGACGTGACGCACGTGTCACCCTCGGCTCACACGTCGCCAAGACGTGACGCACGTGTCACCTTCTGCTCACACGTCGCCAAGACTTGACGCACGTGTCACCTTCGGCTCACACGTCGCCAAGACTTGACGCGCGTGTCACCTTCGGCTCACACGTCGCCAAGACGTGACTCACGTGTCACCTTCGGCTCACACGTTGCCAAGACGTGACGCACGTGTCACCTTCTGCTTACACGTCGCCAAGACTTGACGCGCGTGTCACCTTCGGCTCACACGTCGCCAAGACGTGACGCGTGTCACCTTCTGCTTACACGTCGCCAAGACTTGACGCGCGTGTCACCTTCGGCTCACACGTCGCCAAGACGTGACGCACGTGTCACCTTCGGCTCACGCGTCGCCAAGACGTGACGCACGTGTCACCTTCGGCTCACACGTCGCACGTGTCACCCTCGGCTCACACGTCACCAAGACGTGACGCACGTGTCACCTTCGGCTCACACGTCGCCAAGACTTGACGCAGGTGTCACCTTCGGCTCACACGTCGCCAAAACGTGACGTACGTGTCACCTTCTGCTCACACGTCGCCAAGACTTGACGCACATGTCACCTTCAACTCACACGTCATAAATTTTCACGCGTAGCCGACGCATTAAGTGTCATATCTCCGAATCAAATATCGCTTTTGACTCACGCGTTTACCTGAGTGAGTGTTACCAAAGATTCACATGTCACGTGCGGTTAAACCGTCGCTCACGATTTAAGAATCACCTTCGGTTAGAGAGAGCTTCGCTCATTATTCACGCATCGTCATTTAATCATCGCACTCCTCGATATAAGTTAGCATGTCTTCATTGCATATATTTTCATCATACATATAAATTCAATGTTTCAATACAATTCAATGTTTGTTATGTTTTCTTAATATTTTGGAATAAAATTTCAGATTCAATATGTACTTACAGTATGAGGGCTACCAAAGATCATAACTCGCCATGGTTTTTCTATCGCACTTTTTCTCGCCTAATTTCGAAAAAAACGACCTAAAATTGATTATTTTTAATAAATTTTTTACCTGTAAAGAAGCTGTATCACTATGAAAATAAACAATTTTGAAATTCGTTCAATTAAATACATCCTTTTTTGTGTAAGTTGGCGACTTTAATTACGGTAGCGACTCACGTGTTGTAGAAAGTAATGCGACAATTAAATAACCAATCTACGGCATAAGGGGAGCTTTTCTCACAATGTCTTAGAATTTCTTTTCAATGTTACTGCTTAGCTAACACCGGATACACTTAGCCGGCATGAGGAGTGAACGTAAGGCGCTAGGAGCGATTAAGGATCTCAAGTGGCGAGCCTTCTTCATCTTGAAGAGTGAAGATTAATCGAGGAGACTGTGAGGTGACCTAATCTAATAGAATGATTAGACCAGAGGGGCGAGACACTCCAGAGTAATGGAAAAAGAGAGCGTGGTCGACATCACAGCCAAGATAAACTAAGGAGTTAAGCTGTAATATGTAAGTCAATATGGATGCGTCTTGAAGACTTCTTGATTGGAATCAATTAAAACGGTGCAGTTAAATTTTTTAATTAATAATTTATTAACTTACCTCTGAAAATAATTTATAAAGAAATTTCTTTAAGTTTGAAAATACGAAAAATTTGAAGGCTCGTGCAAGATATTTATAATCAAAAATCTACTTTGTAATTCAAACTGGTAGCGACGACATGAAAATTGCAATGAAGCGTCAATATTCTACCTCTTATCTTAGATAGAGAGCTGAAGAAAAAAGTCGACATAAATAAAAGAAATATTGCAATGAAGAAAACTTATGAGCAGTTATCATAATAAGACAATCTAAGAACATCTCGAAAACAGCAATAATATTGAAATGAACTGGATTGAAACTGCAAAAAAATGAAGTAGAAAGCATTCGGAAAAAATAGGGAATAGTTATTATTACAATAGGACTGATAAATGAAAAAAGCAATAGAATTACTTAAAAGTCCAGAAATTAAGTTCAAAACTGTAATGCATGCATTACATGCAATATTCTTCGGTAGGAGAGTTAAGTCTCACCTGAAATTGGAGAACCACTTGACGAGTTGCGCGGTGTTGTTTTTGTTGAATTTGATGTCTGGGAAGAAGGTTTTTAGGACAGAAGACGATGGGTATCGAACATAGAAGAACATGAGCTTGGCCTTCCTTAGATGCATGGGCGTAAGTGTGCTCGAATGCGCTGTGGAAGGTCCAAAGAAGGCTGCGTTAAGAGAACCGTAGAGAAGGATATGGTTAGACAGAGCCTGAGTGTGTGCAAGTCCTAACGTTTATTTATCATTTTAAAAATCGTTAAAGGAGAATAAATGGAAATAGTTTAATTTTATCGGCAAAAAAAACAATTATTAAATGAAAATTTCATGAGGATATCACACATATTTCAAAATGTTTTAATAAAGGCGTAAAAATGAGTTGAATTCGTTTTAGTCAAAATTACTTATTGGACAATGAATTGCAGATAATTTGTTAATGGTAACAACTTATGAGGTTATAAAAGTCCGTAAAAATGAAGTGCCACAACTAATAAATATATATTATATGATTATAATAACATTAGTCATTATTACACATAATGAAAAATCATTCTATTTTCTTCTATTTAAAAACAGAAGATTTAGAAAAATGATAATTTAGAAAATTGAAAATACGAAGAAGCGTGATTTAAACCAACTAAATGCTAATAATTCGAAAATAAATTCGTTATTTTTGTATTTCTAAGAAAATTACAGATAAATAATAGAAAACAACAAAAATAAAACCCCGCAAACCCAGGAAAAGAAAACCCAACGGAATTGGGGTGAAAAATCAAACAACCTAAGGAAAATTTTTGAAAAAAACCGGAAACAAAAGGTAATAAATTAAAAAGTAACCAAGCCTAAATTTAATCGGAAAAAAAAAGAAAGAAAGAACAAAAAAGAAAATAAATGTTTTATTTATTAATTTAAAGAATAAAAGTTGTTGAAGACAAATAAAAAGCATGAAGTAGCACGAAGTAGCCAAAATCGAAAAAAATTGCATGTAAAATATTAAATAAAAATCTGTAAACCACCCTCAAAAAATGAACGAGACCAGAAATTCAAATTTAAATATAACACACTTGAGTCGACATCCGCGAACTTTTCGTCAGCCAAAATTCGTGCAACGGGAATTTTAATTTAGATCTGGCTCAGCAGCCTTCATAGAGGCTTTCATCCATTCCTTGAAGAAATGATGGAGAGAGTGAATTGCATTGCAGTAAAAGAGCCTGGCAAACACAGGCCCTCGCAGGGAGGAGGTGTGAGGGGAGGGATGGACACGAGGGAGGGTGTGTGAGGGGAGAGATGGACACGAGGGAGGTGTGTGAGGGGAGAGATGGACACGAGGGAGGGTGTGTGAGGGGGGAGATGGACACGAGGGAGGATGTGTGAGGGGAGAGATGGACACGAGGGAGGGTGTGTGAGGGGAGAGATGGACACGAGGGAGGGTGTGTGAGAGGAGAGATGGACACGAGGGAGTGAGTGAGGGGAGAGATGGACACGAGGGAGGGTGCGTGAGGGGAGAGATGGACACGAGGGAGGGGGAGTGAGGGGAGAGATGGACACGAGGGAGGGGGAGTGAGGGGAGAGATGGACACGAGGGAGGGTGTGTGAGAGGGAGAAGAGGATTGGAAAATCACGACTAAAAGATAAGTTAAACGCAAAATGGAGAGCATTAAAAACACACTAACTTCAAGTATCCATATCAAGAATGTAATTGTGCACAGCTTCTTCATCTCTATTCCATATGTTAATACAGGTAAATCCGACATAGATTAAGATACCGCATGGATCTCATATATTGAGGCGAAATAATTATTATTCGTTAGCAAAGCTAATAAATATATTTATGGGAGGCCGAGGAGTTGAAGCGATTGTTTGATTATAAAGAATAGCCCTGAGATGGCCTTACGATGAACAAACGACAGCCATCAATGATTCTTAATAGAGAAGAATGGCACACCGAGGCGCTTGCTGCGGCAGGCGAGAAGATGCGTAAGTAAGATAGGATAGTTTATATCAAAGATAGTAAACATGGGAGAAAAAGATGTAGAAGATCATGAAAGACAGATCGAAGATAGAAGAAATGAAAGAATATGATACAGAAGACGGACGGTAATGGACAATTTGAAGGTAGAAAGCATGGGAGAATAAGATGCAGAATATGATAATAGAAAGTTTAAAGGCAGAAAAAAATGAAATAATATAATAAAGAAGGTGATTAAATTGGTAGAAAGAATATCTGTTATGGTGAAGAGAGGTTAGTATATAGTAATGGCCACATGGGATTATAGACTGGAAAATGGATGGCTTGGGTGACAATAGAATATTTTACTAGGAAGGTCCACCATTCCAAATCGAAATGAGGCACGAATAAAAGATTTTTTACGTGATAAATGAACAAATTTTTCATCGCTTGATTCAGGCATAACGGAGGGATAAATACGCGAAACGTTGTTGAAGAATCATTGTAACGCTGTCTGAAATAACAGGCAGTGTAGCAGCGTATGATCTCACGCACGTTACATATCTCTATCAAGTGCCAGGTTTATAAGCCGACCAAAGGGTGAAGGGATGAGAGCGGAGGCTGTAAGTGCAGAGCTGCAGGGGTCTGATGAGACGCTATTGTAGGTCTGGTCATCTTGTGAGACCTTCAAGTGTGTAGTATGAGTCACTTTGTATGACTTATATGTGTAATCAAGCGCACATACGGAGTAACTTGTCAAGTGTAACTGTTGGTTAGGTAGGGATTGAATAAAATTTAAAGTTTAAATAGTTTATCAAAACTGCGTGTCATGAGAAACTTTCGATGTTATTAAGTTACAGGGAATTTTGAGTGACGCTCTCAGGTAATTTTCACAAATTTTACTATGAACCCTAAATGAATTTTGAGCTAATTTGGCATTCATCAGTAAACCGGGCCACTAACACTTGTAATGAAAAGAACAAATCAAAATAAGTATATTGAAGAATTTTAAAAAGGTGTTATCCTATTTGAATTTAGTTGGAATATGATATCACTATGATGAAAAATTTGATCTACCATAAAAAAATTTGATATTGCTCAATTATTTCTTCAAGTTTTCAATTGAAGCTTTTGCTAGGGGAGCTCGGGGGCGGTCGTCCCCCTTTCAAGATCTCAAGAAAATGGCGTCGCGTCTCGCAAGAAAAAAATCTCAAGAATTTTCCCGGCCTAGGATTGGATAAGAAAGACGGCGGCCTATGGGAAAAGGGAGGGAAGAAGATGGAGGGGGGAAGAGGGGAGGATGCTGAGTAAGGGGAGGGCCAGGATATTATGGCTAACTAGGTAACAGGGAAACGTTGCTTAACAGGTAAAGGAAGATTTTCTTGTATTTACTTCTTACTAGCGTTGCAGAATAAAATTTAAAAAATGAAGAAATGTCACTTAAATTTATAGTTTATAAATGTATTCCAATAAATAATATAAATATTATTCAAAATATAAAATCAAGAATAAAATTCAGGCACAAAAGAAATTAAGAATACTTTGTCTCGCATCTATTTCAAAATTTGTTCGTGATTGATAATTTTGCACATCGGTTTATAATTTTTTAATGCGCATATCTTGAATATATGTAACCACAAAAACAGTTCAAATATTAATAACGATAGTTCAATTCCACTGAATTCCTAATTCAATTCTATTGAATTCACTTCCCCGCTGTGATTTCTGTCTTAAAATATTAATGATGTGTGCCTAATCCATTACAAACAAACTAGTATTTAACACTCAAAAGAAGAGGGGAAAAATGTAAAAAAATTGCAGCTATGCAGCATGAAGCAACCAACTCGCGTCGCTCCTGCACTGCATGTGAGGGCAAAATATCCCTCAGAATTCCTAGTTGGCAGCCGCCGCTTGGCTAGACCCCGCCTCCTAACACGGCCTACGCCCCCTCACTTCCCCTCACCCGCATTCAGGCTGTAGATATTTGCTAATTTTCTCGACCGTCCCCCGAAATGCATATTTAGGTTAATAGTCGTAAAACTCAGCTGAATTGATTTTCATCTGGCCAAGAAATCTAGTCTTGAAGGGCACACTAAAGGGGATCATCTTAGGGATCACTTGACACCTGATTAAAGTGATAGTGAAGTGGAGGATTTGAAAAATTCATATGAGTGAATGCGGAAACAGCAGTGACTGAAAATATTTTACATTAGAGTATGAAATTACTGATGGAATAACTTCAGGGTAATGAACGTTTCGGATCAAATTCCGTAGACTTTCAGGTAGTTGAATCTTGTGTGCAAATACAGTAGAGTTTCGACGTAAACTTTATCGTATCGTGAGATTGATCATGAGAGTGCAATGCTGATATTTTGAATCTAATAATCTACGATGACGAATCAGGCGTGAAGACATTTTTAGCTGCTTATAAAGTATTATGATTTCTTGATGTTGAACACTAGAAAATAAATAACAGGGATTTATACCGCAACCGGAAATAAAAAAAAGCATTCACGGTCGTTTGCTTCTATATAATGCATCGTACTCCAGCAGACATGTTGAGTTGAGGCAAGCAGAGCTGATTTTGTACAAGACTTTTTGTGAAAGGGAAAGTCTTCGTTACAATCTTTGATATGCATCGTCGTAATCGTCGGAGTGATAAGATTGTTTGACATCGACCGGAGTGTTGGAGCGCAAAGTAAACACGTGGCGTGAAATGTACATGTATGCGCGTATGAAATGTATGCAAATGTCAAGGTGATCAAGTCCTGTATTATACTTAAACCTTTTTAAAATGCAATGAACGGAGAAGTACAATGATAATACGCACGTGTCTCCTCACGTCAAAGGATACATGTAAAGTGTGCAATTTACAAAAGCAAGTTCTTTTAGTGAGTGATAACGTCAACTTACAACGAATGTTGACTCAAGATATGACCAAAAGATTTATTAATATCTAGAAGCAAAATTATAAGCTCAATACGATCGTGTTTATCATGGACCGCAAATTTATTGGCTAATAGTCGATGAGAAAACAAAACGAAATAAACTTTATTTAAATTCGCCTCTGCATTTGATGTCAAACAGCATAGCGTGCCAAATGGTTTCAGTTGAACTGTGGTGCGTTACATCGTTTAAAATATAATAATTTAACATGAAGAATTTCACTCAATATTTGTACAGAAATTTTCTGGATATTTATGGAGACATTTGAACGTCTCTCAGGGCTAACAATTCGTAGTAATCGCGTTTAGTCAACTGAACACATTTCTAAAAAAAATATTAAGAAAATCGAATGGGCACAGGAATATAGGGAAAGTCTTACATATAAGCATTTATAATATGACTGATTTTGACCAAGTATCGGGGCGTTCATGAGTTTTGATTACGTAATAATATTGAGAAGGAGCTTTCGAAATAAATTATGACATGCACTGAATTAAATACCTAACACATAATTCGGGGTAGAATTTAATAATTTTTTGTTCAGAAGGAGACTAATTTCTAAGCAAACATAAGGTAGCATTACGGAAAAGATTATCTTTTGAACGCAGCAGAAAAAAATCAGATAATCATAATTAATTTAGAGTATGGTTTAACAGAAGAATTTCAGTTTAAAATTCAACAAATAAGGACAAATAATGTTTAATGTTTAGGTAAGCAATTTTAAGGGGGTTATTGGGCTACAGGCTAGGAATCTAATGTGCTTACAATATTCTATGTAATTATTATAATAATAAAATAACTGTAAGGAATATTTTAAAAGTAAAATTGCACATTTTGTATAGATTACCAGCAAATAATGTAGTTAAATTTAGACTAGCGACATCCATGCATATAACAAACTATAATTGTACATAATCTATTCATGAATAATGTATACATGAATAATTTACACATGAATAATCTATATATGAATAATTTATATACTATAGTTAAGAAAAAAACTTACGATATTCGCGGTCAGCGTAGAAGGACAGCGGGTGCTGATCAAAGGCGCCTACGTCAGCAGGGGAGCAGTCTGAGCCTCTGTCATCATTCCCCTTGAGGAAGTGTGAGAAGGAGTCTGGGGAAGACGCGGCCAAGAAGGCAGGATGCAGCAGAGGGTGAGGCGGCGGGTGGGGAGGAAGATGGGAATTTGCTGGGAATTTGGATTCTTGGGAAGATGGGAATTTGGATTCTTCTCTGCAGTTGTCAGGTGGGGAAGGAGGGCCACGGTTGTAGTAAACACCCGAGTATAGAAGCCCCGAATCGTGGAGGGAAGGATTAGGGATTGCCACTGATGTGGGGAGTGACACTGGGAGCAGAGGAGGAGGTGGCTGGTGGAAGGGATTGGGGCGATTGGGATGCATGTGGGGATGATGCAAAGTGTGTTGCAGAGTATGAGTTAGTGAATGAGGGGGAAGAGCAGGCTGGGGAGGTGGTGACGGTGGAGAATTGTAACGCGGAGAAGAATTTCCGGATGTGGGTGTCATTTGTGGGTAACGAGGCAAATCTTCAAGCAGTCGTCCAACGGTGCGGGGAGTTAGGCGCGAGTCGGTGACCTTGTGTCTCTTTTTCTTCGGCGTCACGACAAGACTTAGCGCCTCGTCTTGTTCTGGCTCCTGGAGGCTTACAGGAGACGTCTTGCCGATGGGTACGGATGGCAGTGATGTGTTGAAGAGATGTGCTGGAGGTTTGTATAGCTGAGGACGCAAGTGAGGAGGCAAATTCAACGAGTTAAAGTTACTCTCAGAAGTTATTGGTCGCATTTGAGGTAAACTCGTGGGTGGATGAAGACCGTTTGGCCGTGAAACGTTAATTTTTAGATTACGAGGCGTTGAAAAATCGGCGGCTGAAAAAGGCAATTCTGGAACTGTGTTTTCATTTTGTTTCATCATAAGCTTTCGTTGCTGCACAAACTTGTTAACAATTGAATCGATAATAAGGCTAAGAGATGCAGTAATTTCGGTCTTTAGGAGATCTGCAAGGGTCTCCAGCTCGGAAGTGTTACCTCCTCCAGGAGTGCCGGGCTCTCCACCAAGACTTCGGAGGAGCGACAATTTTTGGGAGAAATCTTGAGACGAGTTGTGCAAATCCTGCACAACTGAAACGTTGCGTTGATGCTGCAGATTTTGATGGGTCCTCGTACTAAATAGATGCTTAGCATAATCAAGAAGATAGTTAGACGAAGTTTCATTCCTCAGATCTCCGTTGATAGACACTTGAGGTTTAGGAGACGATGCTCTTGGAAGGTCAGGCGATGTAGGCGAACGAAGTCGTGCTTCTGACCTGAGACTGAGGTCGATTTGTAAGTCTGTTGCTTCATCTTCAATTTCTTGTATGTCTTCGTCGTCGCGATCGTCGAGTTTCCTACTTTTCGAACCAGGAGGTAAAGGAGATGCAGGGGGTGATACCGGTGATCCACTAACAGATGGTGTGGCCGAGTCACTTGAAGGTTCGTTCTGTTGTCGCGCTTCGTGCTGCTGTGGTAAATAGAGCTTTCGTTTTTTGCAACCGTTAATTGAAGCGTTAGCGCTGGTGATCAGGGGTGGAGGTGGGGATGAACGCATTACTGATACAATACTTTCAAGGCGATTTTTCTTCGAGTCTCCTCCAGATGCTGCACTTCCTGAACCACAATCAGCGCCTGAACTATCGGGACTTCCACCACCAGATTCAGCGACATCTGTTACGTCCGCAGCATCACCACTGTCACACTGAATGTCATCGTCCTCTACGGCGCTGTCGTGAGACATGTTATGTTCTCTGGTTGCTTCGTCTGCACTGCTATCAGCGTTCGTCAACTCGAGATTTGTCGCTCCAGTTTTATATACTGGACTATTGTTATTATTAATATTTTGATGCAAGGCACGAGCCGCTTCAAGATCGTCTAAAGTCATGATGTCTCGCTTCCTACCTTGCAAGATCTCCCTGAGGAGAACATTGTCTGGACCAGGAGACCGTAAAAGAGCCGTGGCATCGGCTCCTCCACTGGCAAGTTTATCCAAAATTCCCATGCTTTCGAGGGAAGTTGGTGGGTTATTCTTGTTATGTCCTGCAAAAAGTTCACTCAACATTGCTGCAGTTGCAGCTCCTTGTCTCTGCCTCGCAGTGACGAGGTAGTGAGGCAGAGGCTGCTGAGGCTGTGTAATATAATGCACAAGAGGCAAAGGCTGAACCGCAGCTCCTGCTGTTGCACAATAAGTCATCGGATGTTGTAATGTTGAATGATAAAAATTGTTTGGTGGTCTCCACCACGTTTGAGGGAGATTGTAGTGCGGGGCACAAGAGTAAGCACCACCAGGGGCTGTCACAGGTCCGCTCAACACTGCACTGTCAACACTTATACACAGAGCATTGCTACTCAAACCACCGACACTGGCGAAGGCTGGCGCTGCACTGTAAGGGTTACGAGGCTCGCCGGCGTCTACACGGGTTCTGATCCTCTTGGTTTTCTTCAGCTGCTTTTCTGCCAGGAAACACTCGCCTTCTTCGTGACAAGCTAACCCAGCCATTGGCGGAGGGTGAAGCGGAGGCGGCGCGAGAGGCAGGCACGGCCAGTAGGGCAAGGTGACGTCACGAGGACTCGGTCTCAAGCCTCCAACCAGGACACTCGAATCCACACTACTTGCTGAAATTAGACAAATTTAACTCATTATTTTCACGACTCTCTTCTGTTATTTACTGAAAAAACTGTCAAGTAAAATACATGTAACTATAAGTTTTAACAATTCCAGTCAAAACGCCCTGAAGACTTCTTTTCTTTCCCTAAAGTCGGAAAATCATCTCAATCCGGCTCCTTGAAGGCGGTTAAATTTCCTGCATAATGAAATTCAAAATTTAGTTCCAGATGATAAATTATCTTTTCTACTCAAAAATAAGACAACCAAGTCAATCCTCTAATAAACAAAGGCACTTAGGATGAAAGAAAGAATCTTAAAGCTAAGGAGAAGCAGGTTAAGGCGTCTTGAACGCGAGAAGTTCCGTGGCGGCTTCTGGCACGCGTCCAGTCTGGCAGGCAAGGGCCGCCCGCCTCGACAGCCGTTACCGGAGGCCGCCCCCTTGCCTGCAGCTCGCTTCTCCTAGTCAGCTAGGTTGGGAGGCTCCATAAACAGAGTTTCTTGCCGAATTTGGCGATTGTTGTCAGCTGATTAAGGGCAGAGAAGCTGGCGAGACACCGCAGGGCAGCGGCACGCGTCGCCAAAGGAAGCTTGTGCGAACGCCTGCGCTCGTGCGGCCTACAGCCGTACTTGCTGGTCACTGCTAGCGAGCGGACTCGGATTACCGGGCAGTGATCGTAATGAATGATAGTTTAATTGGGCTGTGGGATTACATTGAAGGAGTATGCTCGTGCGCCACTATGATTTGCACTCTCGTCAAAGTTACTCACAATATTGCATTATATTGTTCCTGATGCTTTGGATTTGATGGTAATGCACTGAATTTCCTCGGGAGCACACATATCATTTTACTTGTATTTCAGAGTAACGTAGAGTAAATTTTTAGTTCTCGAGCAAACAATCTAAAAAACATAAAATGTACATCGATACATATTTCCACTCTCTGGGTATACTGATATTGAGAATTAGGATTAGTTCTTTCGACGACGTTCTTCCAAACCTGAAGCCACAAATACCTGAAGCGAACGTTCTCCGCCCGAGCGACAGCAGCATGCACGGCGTTCTTTTATCTCACGACATCCGTTCGAACAAACGTTTTGTTGCCAGTTCCGACTTCCGACCGCAGACTCCCCAACCCCAACCACCACTTCCTCCCTCGCTCGCTGCCTCACTTCCTCCCACTCACTCCCCTCTTTCCTCCCTCTTCCACCCGCGCTCGCGCTAACACCTGCAACTGCGAGTAAACGCTCTACTTTCTCTTTCCTTGCTTCTCTTCTTTACTCAGTCACTATATTTTCCGTCACTCTCTCTTTAGATTCCTCCATTGAGATCCTTTGTTGGATATTGTAATTATTCACTTACACAATTCAGTATTTTCGGGTGAATGGAGACTGGCGTTGGTGTTTTTAACCCCAGTATATTAAAAAAAAATTCATGTCTGCATTCTTTAGGTAAAAGGAATACTTTTAATTTAAAGCTAACTTGCATGTATATTCCATAATATTAAATGATTCAATATTCGTATGCACAGAAAACCTGTGAAATTATTAAATATGTATCTGTTTAATGAATTACTTGACGCTCCGAATGATGAAAAATCCCTCCAAATGAGTCCTTTATTGTAAAAACCCAACTCGGGATTGTGGTAGATGTGCAAGGCTGTACTTTCTCTTGGGAAAATGTAATTTTTCTCTCCAATTGTTATTATTTTTCGTAGTTGAATCAAAACGATAACGAATAAAGCAAACAAAAGATAAATTCGACAAAATTCGGTATAGCTATCAATGACTGACAGAGAAATTGCGTAATAGTTGTCTACATTTCAAATAGCTGATTTGCATTGAAGATGTAGAACAAATTTTTCTGCCTGGCCTTTCAAAGTAATCCACAAAAGTTCTTATTGGATCGCGAGGCATTAAAGGAATTTACTTCTCATTAAAACATTGTACATACAATTTTATTACAATAGGTAACATATAAATGCGGGATACGTTGGATGAGGTATGGATGCGGTTTCATAACAATGGAATTAATTATTACTGTAATTTGGATCGGACTAGTCATTATAGAATCAAATATATGAGTGCTTGACTGATTAGCGAAAAAATCATTTTAATAGCAATAAAAACACATTATTAATCAGAATGAATGGCATGTATCCAGGGAATATTTCAAATAGCCCTCGTGGTGACGTAGACTTCGGCAGGATCGGAGAGTGCTTCCCTCTGGCGATTTTCGAGGGCATTTCTCTTTGACTCGCAGCATATTTCTGAAACCCGGGGAGAAGGGGAGGGCAAAAGTGAGGGAAACGAGGGGAAAGAGCAGTCTGAGGTCTGGAACTGCGCCCTCTCGCATTGCATTGCTGCTGCTCCCGACGGTCTAAGGTCCAGTACATGTCGTCCTGCCATTGATTCCTTCTCACTTAATTAAGTGCTATTTATGTCTTAAAGCGATTAAACAAAGATTTTACACAGCGGGAGCAAAGGGAAAATTTAAATGCTATATATACAGTATTTTAAAACGAAATGACATATTTGATTGAGTGTTTTGTAAAAAAATTAGGGACTTTGTTGGCACATCTTTTATTATAGACGTTTTGACTGATCGACGAGTGACACTTGAAATTAAATGGACCACATTTTACAATTATAATTTATCTAGCGCAATGTTAACAAAGGCAGCTTAACTATATTACAATTTCGCTCAGTACATTTTTCTTGAATGAAGTGTTAGCGGGTTGCACTAGCTATACTACTATACCCTTCAAAATTTCAATCGTAAAATTTTGTATAATTGAAACCAACATTAATTCGTGGCAGTTTAATACTCATAAATAAAAGTCTCGCATGCTGCTAACTTTTTATGCAATACGACTCAAGATTGTACGACAACAGGAGGCTCTCAGGACAAGAGCAGATGCAGAGTTCATGATCTTCATTGTCTCTTTGTTGCTGCTGACATGATTGTTATCGATGATCTTTTATCAGATATTGTGGCGGCGTCTGTTCGAGTGAAGGCTCTCGAACATTGCAGCTCTTCTACCTTACTGATAATTTGCTGCACTAGCGGGCGCGTGCTGCTCTGTACTATTAACAATTATCAGGGTGAACAAAAAATTCATATTTTGAATAATGAGATACGAGAAAGGAAAAGGTTGTCATGCCAGAATTTATAACTTACAGATTTTATCATTATCCATGCACAGAAAATATATTGCGCTAAGTTTGTTAGCAAAAGAGATTCTGTGAATAATTATAATTCTAATACGATCAAATTTAAGCATATAGGATAAACGAAAGTCCTAATTCAAGGATAATAATTTTTTAGCGATCATGTGAACCGTGCTCATAGTTATGGTCGCTGTCGAACAAACTCTGAATGGTACACTGGTTGAATATTTCAAAACATCGTAAGTTAAAATAGATACATATTGCCCATATATACTTCGTACGTTTGCTTCTCACTATTAAAACTTTACATGTTCTTTTTGCCATGAACTTTTTCCGGGAATCATTAATGTTAATTATGTAGAAGCGCACAGTATATACTGCAGCGTCTTTTATTTACTAGAAGATTTATTGTTATTGCTATTCTCGTATGGGGAGATTTGTTCCTTTGTTTGGCGGTTAAAGAGCTCGTGAGATGAAGTGGCCGCGTATCTGCAATAAGATCGAGTGGTCGAGTTGATTGGTGACATCTTGAGTGAGCTGCCGGGCTTATAATTTGGCTTGAGCTGGCACTCAAGAAAGAACGTGGTGATATGTTCTTTCTTTATCAACCCCATGGTGCTGATAAATGGGTAGATCTCAGCTACTGATGCTGCATATAAGACACCAATCGTAAAGCCTGATGATAGCAGAGCGGCCGAACAAATATAGAAGCAGGCAGTAGCTGCCACCTGCCCTTTGGTTGGATAGTAAAGCAAAAGGTCTGTTGTCGAGAAATAACTTTTGTTGTTAATTAATTGAAAATTGTACATAAATCCATTTAATTTTCTGAAAAATTCAGGATGCCACGCACAATTTTCTTAGAAAACCGTTTGATCTAAAATTTTCTTAAGTTACAAATGGCTATGAGTAATAGAACTATATAAGTAAGAACTATAATATAGTCGTAATAGATTATCTCGAGTGGATTCAAGAGATTAATTTCATATAGATCAGCAGTCCAAAGCTTTACAGTGTTTGCAAATAAAAAAAATGTTCATTTTCTTCCATCGTAAGGACGATATCATGAATAATGCAGATAATATTATGCATAATTAACATATGGCCGCAATATATTTGTTATGGTGCGTGTTTAATTTCATCATACCATGACATTTTTCTTGAACCTAGAGTAAAATATCTTCAAGCCGATAATGAAGAATCTTCATTCTTGCATAAGCTTATTTATAGCCCGGTTGTGGGCTTTAAACTGTTTATAAACGTTAATAAATATATTATATGGCAATACCTACAAAATTGAATGTTATTATTTGCTATTACTACCTGCATTCAGCACAATTCCGGTAATTACAATCATATCAAGAATTTCTTATCTTATCTTGAAATTTCTTATCAATAATTATTAAATCAAAGTAAAATGAATAAATATTTGAATAAAAAAAATTGAAAAATATTTGAATACCTGAATTATAAAAAATAAAAAATATTTTATATACTTAAAATAAATAAATTTAATCCTATACTTACAGTAAGTTCTGTAGGGCCTCGGCCCACAATGTGACCAGGGACCAGCAGCTGGACACGGTGCTGGGAAACCTGTGACATAAACAGCAAAGTCGATCATTGAGGAAAATTTTCATTGAAGAAGTGAATATAAATCTTCAAGGAAACCATTTTTGGGTTCAAAATTTACGCATATTGATTGCCAATAAACGAACATTTAATAACAGTTTTTCGCATTCATGAAGCATGAAAATTAATTATAAAAAATACTAATGTCCATAGATATATGGGAAGGAAATCCCTCGTTAGTGATGACAGTAAAGAACGCAATCGATGAGCCCGCAGTCCGCACAATCTAGGTCAGCAAAAGGAAAGGAGAAAGTGTATCGTACGTCGATATTATCGACCGTCGTATATACGTGCACGTCAAGACGATCCTCAATCATTGCCTACTGAATTGCAAAATTACAAATTTCTAGGAAAATTGAGCCTCATATGAGATGGATATATTATTATATAACATATCAATATATATTATAAGTCGTTATCATTGAAAGCATTTAGTGATGCGCATTATGTTTGACTCGTGGTGACTTGGAATAGGAGCGGCTGCCTCATATACTAGAAACTCGACACTCCTCAGAGGTTGTTGATCAAACACATCGAGAAAATGATAACAATTAAAATATGCAGAAATACTAACAAAGCTACAGACGTTATTTCCCTTGGTTGCGAAAATCGTTCCTGTTGAAGATGAGTGAAAAGGCATTAAAATATGTGAACAAGTATATTTAAATAAACAGAAACGAATAATTTTTAAGAAATTACAACTTTGTACGATAAATTGATGAATTTGTTAGCAGCGCCATCGGTTACATGTTGATGATGATCATCTTCTTGAATTGGCCGGAATTTTCTTATACTGTCGCCAATTTTATGATCCTAACAGCGATATGAAGAGGTGCAGGCAGTCGCATCATGTTGGCACCATGGAGTCACATTCTGATGGTGCCAGTCATTTCATCCCCTATGGTGCCAGTCATACCATGATGGTGTCAGTCATACCATGAAGGTGCCAGTCATACCATGAAGGTGCCAGTCATATCATGATGGTGCCAGTCATATCATGATGATGCCAGTCATATCACGATGTTGCCAGTCCTATCATGATCGTGCCAGTCATACCATGAAGGTGCCAGTCATACCATGAAGGTGCCAGTCATACCATGAAGGTGCCAGTCATATCATGATGGTGCCAGTCATATCATGATGGTGCCAGTCATATCATGATGGTGCCAGTCATATCATGATGTTGCCAGTCCTATCATGATGGTGCCAGTCATACCATGAAGGTGCCAGTCATACCATGAAGGTGCCAGTCATACCATGAAGGTGCCAGTCATACCATGAAGGTGCCAGTCATACCATGATGGTGCCAGTCATACCATGATGATGCCAGTCATGCCATGATGGTGCCAGTCATACCATGATGGTGCCAGTCATACCATGATGGTGCCAGTCATACCATGATGATGCTTGCCATCTCATGATGAAATCTATAGGCTTCTGCAAGTGACATCTTTTCTGCCAGCATGCCTGCAACTGCTGGCAGAAAGCTCGAGCTATTGAAGCCTCTTCCATGCAACCTCTGTAGTTACTAGTCTCTGGCAATCCATGTAGTACTAGTTTCTGGCAATCCATATAGTACTAGTCTCTGGCAATCCATGTAGTACTTGCTAGTCTCTGGCAATCCCTGTCGTACTATAGTTTCTGACAAACTAATGTCTAATAATATCGTTGTATAAATGATAATACCCCTGTAATAAATCACTAGCTGTAGCACTAATCTTTGGCAGTCCATGTAGTGCTAGCCTGTGACAATCGTTGCAGTTTTAGTCTCTGGCAATCCCTGTAGTACTACGACTACTCTGACAAGGATCAGTAATTGCTGACAGACACCACTACATGCTGGCCGTCTTTACTGAAGGCTGACAGTCCACTCAGACATTTGACTTCTACCACGTGCAGCTGACAGCTCGCGCCGATTTTGGACAGTCCCAAATTAACGACCGCTGGCAGTTTCCACCAACTTCTGGCAGTTTCAGTCAACTGCAGACAGTCCCCGGTAATAGCTGACAGCTCCTGAAAGCTTCGGGCAATCCCCACCAACTGCAGGAAGTCCCACCAACTGCTGGCAGTCTCACAAACTGCTGAAAGTCCCACCAACTGCTGGCAGTCCCACCAACTGCTGGCAGTCCCACCAACTGCTGGCAGTCCCCACCAACTGCTGGCAGTCCCACCAACTGCTGGCAGTCCCACAAACTGCTGGCAGTCCCCGCAGCCTAGTGCATCTCATGGGCCCCCTTTAAGGCTTCAATTAATAGCTTCCCATGGCGGCGCTGACCTTCGTGGCAGCGGCCACATCCTTCCTCGTCATTCTTGTCCATCGCAGCCACAAGAACCTCCGTGGCCACGACACATCACGCATTTTTCCATGAATTTTCATAGTTCAAGTTAAAAAAAATTATATTTGAATTACGATCAAGTGTTTTCGATCATAAGTGTTATACGTCTTCGTGAAGTTTGAGCTGATCCCGATTGCCCTGCTGCCGTCTCTGCGATTCGCTGCAGTCACAGCTTTTCTCGGATCATATATTTACGATTAATGAGATACTTCACGTGTAAATAACGAATATATTATCAGCCTATATATTTAGTAATATTGTTAGTAATTTCCTTGCTATATAACGGAAGGGTAGGAATCATATTTGTTGTAATCTCAACTCTGTAAGAATTACACGTGCAGTTTCAATATAGTGGCCCATATATCAGCAGCCTTCTCGGTACTGCAGAGAAGTGATGTTTGCAGTCATGCAGTGGCATCATGCAGCTATGCAGAGGCATCATGCAGCCGTGCAGTGGCATCATGCAGCTATGCAGTGGCATCATGCAGCCGTGCAGTGGCATCATGCAGCCATACAGTGGCATCATGCAGCCATGCAGTGGCATCATGCAGCCATGCAGTGGCATCATGCAGCCATACAGTGGCATCATGCATCCGTGCAGAGGCATCATGCAGCCATGCAGTGGCATCATGCAGCCCTGCAGAGGCATCATGCAGCCCTGCAG